AACTTACCCTAAACCTAACCCTAAACCTAACCCTAACCCTAACCCTAAACCTAACGCTAAACTTACCCTAAACCTAACCCTAAACCTAACCCTAACCCTAACCCTAAACCTAACCCTAAACCTACCCTAAACCTAACCCTAAAGCTAACCCTAAACCTTACCTTAAGTTAAATTGCGCTTCTGTCGGCGCGCTGTTGTCGGCGCGCTTTTGACATCGCGGTTTTAGCACCGCGGTGTTGTCGGCGCGCTTTTGACGTTCGCGGTTATGTCGTGCCACGGGGGGGGGGGACAAGCAGAGGGGAAAAAATGTCAGATATCTGTCTCCTTTAAAGGTTGTTAATGGTGGGAAAAAAGATAATATGAGCTGAGTCTCATTCTGTGAAGATGAATACCTAGTAATGAATTACTGGGCATGCCTTGATGGGCACAGTCTTCAAGAGAGCATCATATTCTCTTTTATGTTTATCATGACTAATCTTTACTTAGATTGGAAGTGTGGATAAATTCAATCTTGCGTGGGAAGAATGGCATTCCTTTGTCTTTCTGTGACCGATGAAAGCTTGTTTTTGGATTGCAGTTCTCTTTTGTTGAGTTCATATAATTTTGCCCTTAGACTCTATCCTATCTGGCTTTCTCGGCTACGGAAACGAAGTTATAAATTGGAGCTAGTACTATGACTCCACCCCCCCCCCAAAAAAAAAGACATTTCCCAAATTCCAAAATTACTCAAGGCAAGTTCTAGTCCTATTGATGTTTGCAGTGTAATTTGTGTTGGGTTGATTTGTCCTCTTCATCAATGGGATTAAGATTTCAGCCTTGTGCTCCCAAGTGCCTTAATTTCTGTTTTTAAAAGGCACCTAATTTCACATGCAAGATTTTAACGCCATGCTTGTTCCTGCAACTCGTCCTGTAAAACTCTGGTTCACGGTGTCACTCCCTTTTCAATTTCTTCTAATTACTGAAATAGTGACAGTTGTAGAGGACATTTTAAGATTAATTTCATTGTAAAAGTCTGTACAGTATCCACATGGCAATATTAACTGACACCAGTTTTTTTTTTCCAACCCTTGTTTTATTTTTGTATTAGACCTTCTTTAGTTTACAACGAAACTATACAATCACCAATAAAATTAGTCAGGGCAAAAGGAAAAAAAAAATACCAGAACCTCTTTATAGGAATTTCTAAATAAATATATCTATATCTA